TCACTTTCCCCAGATGTGAGTCTTTCCCAAGAGACCCATCAAAAGACCAACTTGGAGGAGCCTCAAGCCCCAGCCCAGCATCCCCCTCCCAAGCTCAGCAAAACATTGGGCGGCTTGGATCAGGAGAGACAACCCAGTTTCTTAGCAACTAACAAGCGCTTCCCTGTAAAGACAAAGACCCTTCACTCAGAATGCTCCCTCCCCCACCTCCCCCTCCAGGTGTCTGATCGCTGTTCAGGAGTGGGGTTAGGGGCTGCCCAACCCCCCAGAGGTCTAAGGGCCTCTTGCCCCACCCTCCTGGCAGTCCTGATATTACCTGTAATTATCTCCCACAGCACCTTTCATCCTGGTGCTAATTACCTTTCCCATTTACCCCCAGGGGCTGCTGGGAGACATGTGAGGTGTACATACACACACGTATGCACACACACACGCACACACGCGCAAATGCCCTTATTTCTCCTTCTGAGACTCTTGCTCCATTTTAGAGACCAGGAAACTAAGGTTGGAGCCAGTTTCTTGTGGGTTCCCATCTGAGAAACAGGAGCTGACAAGGCTGGTTCAGGGAGAGGGGAGGACGGGGTCCCTGAGTATCCCCGGGGGACGAGAGACCAGGAACGAGAAGAGTCTTTTGTGGAAAACCTTGCCAGGACAGAGGTCCTGGCTCTGAACCCCACCTCAGTGCCACTAGATGCAAGCCGCCCCGCTTAACACAAAGAGGACGTTTCAAAGGGAAAGGTTTCAATAGAAAAGGAAAAGAAGAGAAAGAGTCAGAAAGAGAAAGAAATAGAAAAGAACAACATGGTTGTCTGGTCCGATGTAGCTGAAACAACCGCTGACTGGCAGCGAAGACCTGATTTAGTAACAGTGCTGCCGCTCACTGCTGTGTGAGCCTGAGCAAGTCGGAGGCCTTCTCTGGGCCTCAGTTTCCTCATCTACGAAACAGTTCGGGATAGGTATTCTCTGAGCCCCCATTCTAGCTGAACGTTCTACCATTCTGTGTGATTATCTGGGGGAATGGTAGAGAAAGCCACCTCGACCATCCCTTTGGCTGGGAGGTGCACGGAAGCCACCAGAACAGGGGAAAGTGAACATTCTTGGGATGAAGAATGAAAAAGAGCCAAGTTCATTTGGCTACAGGAGCCAGAAAATCCTACCAGGAGGCCCAGGTTAAAGAGGCGTTTGCAGCTGTGGGAGCCAGAGACCCTGGGATTTCAGACGAACCTGTTCCCAGAAGCAGCAGCCAAGGACAGAGCTCGTCTTCTCCAGGTCGCAGCCTCAGGAAACCCATTCGGGGACCCCCTATGCGGGGAGGCCGTGGGGGCGCACAGGCCCTACACTGCGTCTGCACTCAGGGACAGAGGGTAGAAATGTGACTCAGGAGTGGGCAGGGCACCGAAGTGCCCCCTATTTTCCTCATGAGCTGGAGTCCCCCTCACTGGCACAAGTCAGCTGGGCAGAGAGGACAGGGTTCAAAGGAAA